AGGAAATCTTCATTTTCCCTTATGCAACGCAGAGTCGATACTCGTTTCTCCAGACCTCGAACCTTCGTTTCCAATATGGAGACCAGCTTGCACTTTGTACAGACAGTCGCTTCTGTCCTGTGGAAGAAAGACAAACATAGCACAACCTGTGCAGGTTACAACAGCTGATTGCTCACCTTCCATATCACCTTCCTCTTAAGAGCTTCCTCAGCTGTTGCAGTAACTAGTCAGAGAAACCCACAGATGAAAGCCTCAGTGCGCTCTCCCTAGGCGAACTCCCTGGCGAACTCCCTCTGTCAGCCTCTGCTGTTCACTGCTCAGCTGGTTCGCTGCTGACTGCCCTTATATACCAGTCAGGTGCACTCAAGGCCCACCTGGAACAAAGCACTCCCAATTCACACTTTTCAAACAAACAAGCAAGCAAGCAATCAAGCACACGGTCAAACTGACGAACTGTCCCAGCAACAGACACTCAGATACTCACCAACACAGCCCCCCTAATGCAGCACTTAGCGTACCTCCTCTCGGACAGATCCCAGGCAAACTCCCTCTGTTAGCCTCTGCTGTTCGCCGCCATCCCTCCCTGGGACTTGACCCTCGTGCTGTGCAGGCTCATGGGGCGTGCCTCTTCTCCCCTCCCCCCCCTTGAGCCTTTGGCTGCCTCCTCCCCCTTGATGTTCTCCTGAAAGGTTTCTTTCCTGGTCGCTATAATCTCACCCCGCAGGGTATCTGAGATCAGGGCGCTCACCTCAGATCCGCCCAATACGGTCTTCAAGGACAAGGTCCAACTATGACACACACCCGGCGTTTCTGCTCAAGGGTCATCTCCCAGTTTCATACGGGCCAGGACATATACTTACCAGTCTTTTGTCCGAAGCCTCATGCGTCGGATGAGGAGCGCAGACTTCACGCCTTGAACATCAGGCGAGCACTGGCATTCTATATAGATAAAACCAAACCATTCCACAAGTCAGCACAGTTGTTTGTGGCAGACAGAATGAAAGGTCGCCCAGTGTCTGCTCAGAGAATTTTAGTCCTGGATCATGGCCTGCATTCGCTACTGCTGTGAGTTGGCTAAAGTGCCTCCACCGGCGATTGTGACAGCTCACTTGACTAGGACACAGGCATTGTCGGCAGCCTTCCTGGCGCAGTGCCGATCCAGGAAATCTGTCAGGCTATGACCTGGTCGTCCGTCCACACGTTCATATTGCATAATACGCTGACCCAGGAAGCTCAAGAAAATGCTGGCTTTGGCAGAGCAGTGCTTCAGACTGCAAGAAGGTAAACTCCAAGCCTACATCTGAGGATTCTGCTTGAGTCACCTAGAATGGAATAGACATGAGCAAGCACTTGAAGAAAAAATGCTTATCCACCTTTTGTAACTGTTTTTTTGTTGTTGTTGTTGTTGCTCATGTCCATTCCATTACCTCCCCTCCTACCCCTCTGTTGGAGTTGTTGGCAAGAAGGAACTGAGAGGGCGTGGGGTGGTGGCGCTTGATATACCAGCACATGGGCATGCCATTCAAGGGGGCGCCACAGCCAACCCTAGGGATACTGTTAAGGCAAAAATCTCTGACAACAGCGCATGTGGGCATGCATGCACTCACCTAGAATGGAATGGACATGAGCAACACACCTCAAAGAACAACAGTTACAAAAAGTGGGTAACCGTTCCCCCCCCCCCCAATTTGAAGAATTACAATACTAGTGAATAGAGAGAGAAACCTTTATTTTGAACTTTTCATAAATAAGTAGTAGGTTACTTTGAGGGCATTTTATCAAACATCTGTTTTCCTGAGCAGGTGTTAGTATCTGAAAGTAGGTAAGGTGCTTTGAAAATCCCAGTTTAAGGAAATTGGATGGGATTTCTGCCTGCTAAGTTTCTTTTTTAGGCTCCTCTGAAAATCCCAGCCTAAAGTCATAGAGGAATTCTGGATAAACTGAGGAAATTTGCAAAAAGAGGAAGAGTGCTCTTGCTTATAAATGTTTCATCATATTGTTGCCACCGTCACCCATAGAGTAATCTGGCTTTGACTAGAACTGAGACAAATGTGGATTAGCTGATAGCAACTAAAAAAACAAACCAAACGTTTTCTAGAAAGCTTTAAAATGTTAAATGAGTTTAACTAGAAAAGCTTTTGTCTATGGCACTTACTTAGATGAAATGTGAAATCAAGAAAATGAGGAAATTCCAAATGTAATTCCAAATATAAATAAGGATTTGTAAATACAGTGGAGTCGCATCTTACGTGGGGGTTCGGTTCTAAAGTCAGCGCGTAAGGCGAAAATCGCGTACAGTCAATTTTACCCTTGAAAATCCCTTAAATTGCCCATAAAGTACAGTATACTGTACATGGTTTTGTGTATACAACCCGGTACAGTAATATGTATCAATGTATACAGTATATAATCGAGTACATATGCAAAATATAATTTTACAGTACTGTATTTTTAATTACGGGAGTAATTACAGGGGGTCGTCAGGGCTTGATGTCGATCCAGGTGACGGAGAGCTTGGGTGACCGAGCGAGTCGTAGACGAAGTGGTTGGCTCTGTTTCAGCTTGAGAAGTTGATTGCATAGGCTCATCTGCAGCTGGTTGTTTTTCCTTGAAAAACATGGTGATCAGCAACTGTCGCTATTGTCTCTTGAGCTGCTCAAACATTTCTTGATACGGTCTCAAATCGTCCGTAATACTATGTATGATTTTGAGGCTTCGTTCCATAGAGGGATCGTATTCAGAAATTAAATCATTCAAGTGTTTCGCTGCTTGGATCACTTCAGCAAATTTATGAAGATTCCAACTTGCTGGCTCTTCCTGTTCGTTGTCATCATCTTCGTCTTCTGTAGACGATTTTATCAGTTCCTCTAACTCTTCGTTAGTCAGTGTTTCTCTATGGCTCTCAATTAATTCTTCAATTTCTTCCTCAAGGATGTTGACGTAGCCGCCTTCACCCACCTGCCTTGCCACCTGAACAATGCGTTTCACTTTTTTGTCAATGGTCGGGAAACCCTTAAAATCATTCACACATTCTTTCCATAGGTTTTGCCAACATGCATTGACTGTTTCAGGCTTGATTGCATCCATTGCCTGTTTAATATAAGTGATGCAATTGGCAATGTTGAAGGACTTCCAACACTCCATCACATTAAGATTGGGATCAGCATCCATAGCGCTACGTATCCATGAGAACGTAAGCCTCGTGTACGTGGCCTTGAAACAGCAAATCACGCCTTGGTCGAGAGGATGGAGGTGGTATGGGGGGGGGGGGGGGGAGAAAGACGACTTCAACGTCATGTGCAAACCTGAGTGCCACAGGGTTGCCAGGAGCATTGTCTATGATCAACAACACTTTAAAGTCAAGTCCTTTCTCTTCGAGGTACCGCTTGACCTCCGGAATAAAACACTTGTGGAACCAATCCAGAAATAATTTTGCCGTCACCAAAGCCTTTTTATTTGATTGTCTGAACATAGGCACGAGATTTTTTGTTCTTGCCTTTTAGGGCACGGGGATTTGCAGCCCTGTAGAGCAAGCCCGGCATTATTAAATGCCCAGCTGCATTGCCAAAAAACAAGTCACATGGTCTTTAGCTGCTTTGAAGCCAGGGTCTTGTCTTTCTGATTTCGAAATGTAAGTGCAGTTGGACATTTTTTTCCAGAAGAGCCCAGTCTCGTCAGCATTAAAAACTTGTTCCGGAAGATAGCCCCTTTCCTCTATGATTTTCTTTAATTGTTTGGGGTAGGCTTTTGCTGCCTCTTCATTGGCAGATGCAGCTTCACCAGTAGTCTGCACGTTTTTGAGGTTGAAGTGGTTCCTAAAACTGTTAAGCCAACCTTGGCTGGCTTTGAATTTCTTCTTATCAGAAAGCCGTCCCTCTTCGGCAGGAGGTTTGAACAGCGCGTAGAGGCTAAGAGCCTTTTCTTGCAACATGTTGCCATCGATAGGCACACGTTTACGGTTCATGTCTTCCAGCCATTTCAGTCTTCACTAAAGTCGTATCACGCACCTGGCTCATCACCTTAGCAGTTATTTGAGCACTTGATGCCACGGCTTGACGAATTTCTCTCTCTCTAATCTTGATGGCACGGATGCTAGATTCATTGTGGCCATATTTACGTGCCACATATTGGAGACCGACATATTGTCTTTCTAAGTCCAACACAGCCAGTTTTTCCTCCAGTGTTGGAACAGATCGCTGTTTCTTCGGTTGAGCACCAGATGAAGTAGTTGGCTTGTGTTTAGGGGCCATGTTGTACGAAAAATACGTATCTTTAAACACTAGAATCACACTCAGCGCGGCGAGATGCTCACACTATATGAGAGGCACGCGGGAACTGAGACTGACTGAGGGAACAGCAGATTCACGTCTCCCATCTCATGCTCACTCCGGGGCATACGCTCATTGGGCGGAATCACCCGCACTATTTACAGGTATCTTATTGTTTTTCTTTTTTTGCCGAGCACGTATAGTTGAATTCGCGTAAGTTAAATGCACGTATGATGCAACTCACCTGTATCATGTTTTGTTATACTGCTGAGAGAAACAACCAACCTTATGTTGTGTTTGCATGCCCAAGACTGTTTCATAATTTAATTGATTTTGATTCTGTTTCACGTCAGGGTAATAATATAACTGTGTGTGTATTCTGGTAGCAGCCACAATATTCAGGATACTCTCCAGATGCAGGAAAATTTTTCTTTTGGCCTAAGAAGAAAAGCAGCATATGAAGGGTGGTGTGGAGAGAAATGCTATCAAAATGTAGTTTTGTCTGTTATGTGGCTTTTCAGAACTTTTCAGAAATCTCGAATTCTGGCCAATATAGCATGATTTCTATTACAATATAAAATCTGTACTCTATATATCTGAAATATCTATATATCTAAAATTCCTAATAGAGATGTGAAGTTTAATTATTTTGGCTGTCTATCCTTTTTGATCCATATTGAATTAAGGAGTTAAAACTGAAATATACTAGTGGCATCTCTTAATATTCCCCAGTGTGACAACTATGAAATCCGTCCTGGGAAACATCTTGGAGTGTGCATTTCTGTGGCGAACAACAGACTGTTTGTTGGATCAATTCCAAAGAACAAGACCAAGGAAAACATATTGGAAGAGTTCAGTAAAGTCACAGGTAAAGAGCTTCCACTTAATAAAGAATTTGTATGGTAAAAGATTAGTGCCAGAAATTAACTTTCATAGCATGATAGCAACTGATAGTAAATTTTAAATGCCAGTGATAATGAAAGATTATTTCCAAATGGAGTTCCAGGTTCATTGCTGGTGGGAAGTACCATAGGCTTTATGAACTTCCAGATTGATAGCCTGTATAAAAGGTTCATATTTCTTTTGCATTCACCACTCTCTACCTGCTGTGCATTTTAGATGGGACTGCTAACAAAACTTTTTATATGGGGGAAACTGAGCATCAGAAACTAACTTTAAAAGGCCGAGCTCAGTTTTTTGGAAAAAAAAAAAAAAAGTGGGTGGGGAGGAGCAGGGTCAGAGTTGATCTACCTTTAAATAAAACTTATTTTTATTCTGAGTTTGACCACTCAAAGTCACCCAGATCTTATAATAGAGGGAGAGGCTCTGGGGCAGCCTCTAAAGATGGACCATCTGGTGAAGAATGTCATGGAAGCAGCTCTTAGAGTCAATTGAGAGGTTGGAGGGAATGATCAAGCAACTTTTTGGCCCACAAAATATGGAGTTGTGGAGGGGTGGGGGTAGCTGTGTCAGGTACCAGTGCTAACCCCATTTGTTTTCTGTCCTCTCCTCCTCTTCCTCCTCCCTCCCCCACATCATAAGCAGAGGTTGTGAGTAGAAAGCAACCCGCCATCACAAAGCTGGAGAAGATGCAGGGAGAGTTGGTGCAGAATTATTGATCTCTCATGCAATTCTCCTGCAGGAAGGGAATGTCCCATTGCTTCCTTAATAGGGTACCAAGTTATAAGAACTGCAGGGAGCAGAGAGGAAAAGAGTTGTCTGTCCTGCGCAGCCTCTGACTCTTTTCAGAGAGAGATGGGGAAAGGATCCCTTGAATTCTCTTCTGGGACAGAAGGGATTGGAGTGTTAAATATTTTTCAGAAATGAAGAAAATAAGACAAAAGGTAGAAACTAAAATTGATATTGTATTGGAGTTTTTCATGTTTGTTTGGTGCAGCTTGGATTGATACACAGAATACATAGACTTCAGAAGTAGGATGATTAAGTATTTTGAGAGAGGCTCCCACACAATACTCTTTAGTGTAGGGGAAGCTTCCTTGACCTGGAAACCATGAACTTCTACCAACTGCTCTTTATATTTCCATGCATGTCCCCACCCTTGTTATTGACCTGAATTGAGACCCAAACTGTATCAGCCAGTCAAGTGTGTACCCCAGGGGTCGGCAACCTACAGCACACGTGCCAAACACAGCACGCGAGCCGATTTTGAGTGGCACGCAGCTCCCTGCTGTGGTCCCAGCCCCACTCAGCCCCCCTGCCCACTACTCTCCCCTGCGGGGGCAGGAGGCAGAAGCTTGGTTCTGCGGCAGCCAAGCTTCCCCCCTCCTCCCCCGCTTCTTCCCCCAGCGTGGTGCTTTCCTGCCCCGCCTCCTCTTCGTCCCTGGCCAATCAGCTGATGGCCCTAGCGAGGGGGAGGGGGAAGAGCGGCAGTGTGCACGCAGCTCCGTAGAGGAGGCAGAGAGAGGTAGGGATGGAGCCTGGGGGAAGGGGGTGGAACAGGGCATATCCCTTCCAGCCCCCTGCCATGAACCGCTCAGGGCAGGGGGCTTGGAGCACCCCCATGAGCCGAGCACCCCAGCCCTCTGCCCTGCACCCCCCCACCCCAACACACACCATTCCTCTGCCCTGCACCCCCCACACTCCAACACACACCCAGCCTTCTGCCCTGCACCCCCACAGCCCCATCCCTCTGCCCTGCACCCCCCACACACACTCAG